ATATATATATATATATATATATATATATTATTTTTAATTACGAGATTGATTCAAAATATTTATAATCTAAAACAATGGTTAAATTCTGTAAAAAAAATCATGAACATATATAAGTTAAATATTTTTCTTTTTATATAATTTATTTCATATTTAAAACAAGAACTTAAATTCTAAATAATTTAGTTAAGATACACATTAATTAGCACATTTTTTTTTTGAACCAATGACGGTTCTAAGTTCTAACAAGACAAAATTAATTATACCAATAATTTGTGATTTTAATGGAGTAAATGTTGTAGTAACAGATGATATATACTGTGATCTCTACTGCAAGTACATAATCTATGACAATGCACTACTATCTTTACTGCTATTGCATTATGTGCTACTCTACCAGATGTGGGAGATTTTACAGTAATAGACGATCCACTACAACCTCTATGACGACTGACGAGTACATCATTTACTACTGCAATACAAAGAGTAGATATTGTAATAGCAGATATGATTCACTACTGGTACATCGTCAGCTATTACAGTAAATGTAGTAAAAAATTGTTATAATAGATGATAAACTAAGAACTCTATCGTATCGGGTAAAAGGAAAATTGCGGCGAATAGACGCAAATTGCCGCGAATAGACACAAACCGTATTTGACGAGGGGTTGTTAGAAAGCCTCATTCTTGTTTGAATATTGAATAAGTGGTCAAACATCAAAGCTCGCAGAGAGAGAGAGACTACAAGAAATGCACAACACGCGTACTGGGAGTACTGGCAATTTCCAAAGGATCACAACGTAGCAGTCATCGAAATTCTGAGATCAAATTCGTTAGATTACAAGGTGGCCAACAACCACATATAATTTACACATTCATGGAGGAAATAGGAATGTTAACTTTATTTTGTTTAACTTCTTGAAATAGAAACAAGTTTCACATCAATAGAATAATAAGAGAAAAGATAATAACTTATAAAATATACTCATATTTTAACGATTAAGAAACCTTTTAAGCGATGACTTATTGTGAAGTTGCATGGCTATCTACAATAGTATGGGACATGACGTTTTCAGATTCTTTTCCATTCGAATACGTACTTTGGCTGCAATTTTGTAACCAAAACATACCTATAAAATAATGTCTAAATTTGTCCATAAATTAAAGTAGTGATATGAATCATGTTCATGTTTAATGAATCTTAAAGAGGATTTTATATGCACACAAAAGAAAGAAGAAGAAAAAGGTGTTATTTCGTTACTAACTTACTCCCCAATTAATAAATAAACCTTAAGTAAAAAGAGAAACATATAATAATTTTTCTTATTTTTTCACGAAATTACGCACTTTAATCTAAACAGAAGCAAACATTATTGTAATATGGAATTCATTCTTGGAAAACAAGAAATGTTTTTGACTCAGTTTATAATTGAAGCTATGATTGTTAATATTTATAATCAAGAAAGTAGTTTCTAAAGTTTTCTAAAAGCTCATATAAATTGTATATCCAAATTTCTTATTATTAGGCTAATCCCATAGAACTATCAAAAAAGCAAATGTAATAACTTTAATTGTTTTACATATGTATTTCAAAATAACATCATCCATTAATTTTAAATTGATAATCTTTTTCTTAGAAAAAAAAAAACACATTTCGCTACGTATGAATGAAATTCTCTTTGTTAGCACGATCTTTAGTCTTGACTATTATTTTATCGTTTCCGTCATGGCCAAGAAATTATATCGAAACAAAGTAAGACACGGCATGCGACATGTGGCTATAAATATGTCTGTTTTATGGTTCAAACAATTCTTTCATTGGAGATCCTGGTGCAAAATAACTTCTTTCAGAATTTCAAAATTTGGTCGTGCTCGTATACGCAGCTTCATCAACACAACAAAGACACGTAACAGAGAAAAACACATCCATAGGAAGCATCACCTCTCATTATTTCATATTAAGGTAAATAATTGCATGTAACTGTCGCAATTTTTTACTACAATAATGTTTTCTAACTTTTTTCTCTATATATACTTACTTGTCCCACAATATATTCTGACTTTATTTCCAATATATACTCTTCCTGTAATGCAATATGTAAATAAGTTGATGCTACGCTAGGAAGTGGATTCTTTTACCCTCTTAATGGACTTCCCAACATCTTTTTTTTTTAATACGTTGGAAAGTTAGTTTTGTCGGAGTCATAACAAATTCAAGTTCAAATCATTCTTCTATAAGTTTACCGTTTCACATGTTTTGTAAATTGAACATGTTATAAGAAATCAAATTTTAAACTATTATATTTGATCGTATAGTATATTTTTTGAAGTAATATTTATATAATATTAAAATATAAAATTATAATTATTTAGTATATAAAGAGTTCCCATTTATAATAAAGGTTAAATAAAATACTTTAGCCCTTACATTTGGATATATTCTTTTTCGTTTTAATCCTTACATGAAACAGTTAAAATTTGTCCATACCAAACCATTTGCCGAAATTATAACATTGTCGGTAGAGTATTTTCTTTTTTCATGTATGAAAGAAATAAAATAAAATAAAAAAGAAGATATTTATACCAACCAAAGCATATACTTTATTCACTTTTTCATGTAGAAAGCAAAATTAATAAAGTGAAAGATGTTTTTGTGTAGAAACTAGAAGAAAAGGTGTCAATTATAAGACAAATCAAATAGTGTCATAATTTAATTGTAGAAACGATAGGGACTGATTCATAAATCGTAAATGTTTTTTCATATAGGATTTTCAAAATATAGAGTTTCCTTTCATGTATGGACAACAATTTTGGTGATAGAAACAATAATAATAGTAGTTGAAATACGGAAAAATTGTAAGCATAAGTGTGAAAGGAGGAGAAAATAATATCCAATATATCCTACTTCTTCCTAACAAACTCTCTTGTTATGATATACCTTTAGCTAATGAATATGATATATAGAATAAGCTAACAAGAAAAGATTATGCGTTCCCCATAGTATGGATTTGGAATACATCGTTCTTATTTTAATGAAAAAAAAAAACCTACAACGGTCTCTTTTCTTGTTCTAAACTTTCAATTTGAGGTCCTTATGCAGCAATATTAAATTTCTCTCTGCTTCTCAGAACTTGATCCTTGTTTGATTATTCATGGAAGAGATGGCACAATCAATCAAACGTCCTTTTGGCGTTCCTGAAAAGCCAGAATTCAGTGTTGGGTTGGATTTAACATTAAGCAAGTTGAAGATGGAGCTTCTCAAAGAAGGTGTGTCCATCATTCTGTTAACTGGTTTCGGAGGATCGGGGAAAACCACTTTGGCAGCAGAGCTTTGTTGGGATAAACAAGTCAAGGGTAAGTGATAACTCCTTTTCGGTTCAGATGGTATTTAAGAATCACAAAACTTAGGTACAATATTGTAGGTATGTTTAGTGTTATTCTCCGATCAAAATTGGAGGTTTAGTTTACATACCAGCACCTACGGTATCTATGATATTATAGTTAAGTTTTTTGTCTTTTTTGTAAAATGTTAAATGTTGTAAACTATTTAGTCACAATATATGCAGACTGCATAGCTTAAGATTATTGTAGAAAAAATCCTCTGGCTAACTAGTTTCTTTGGTTTCTCTAGGTAAATTCAAGGAAAACATTTTATTTGTTACCTTCTCAAAAACGCCGAAGTTAAAGATTATTGTAGAAAGATTATTTGAACATCATGGATATCAAGTGCCTGAATTTCAAAGCGATGAAGATGCAGTTAATCAACTGGGACTTCTGATGAGGAAAATTGATGCAAGTCCAATGTTGTTGGTCCTGGATGATGTTTGGCCTAGCTCAGAAGCCGACGTTGAGAAATTTAACTTTCAGATATCAGATTATAAAATTTTGGTGACTTCAAGGTTTTCATTTCCTAGATTTGGAACTCCATTCATCTTAAAACCTCTTGTTCATGAAGATTCAATAACCCTTTTCCGTCACCACGCTCTCTTAGAAAAAAGCAGTTCAAATATTCCTGTCGAAGATCTTGTCCAAAAGGTGCTTGTTCCTTATTTAAGACATACTATAAGAGTAATCTTACATGTTCTTTCTATATGCAATCATATTTAGAAATAGACATCACAAGATAGCATACCACCATTAAAGCAAATTATTGTTGAACTAATAAAAAGATAGAGTAAATAATACATACACTGATAATATAAAAATTTATACACTGTCATTTAATCACAAACTGACATATATAATAAGTTTGTTGAGTCTTATAAAATTTCAAGCTTGGTGCCTAACTCATAACAAACTATATTTACTTGCATTAAAATGCAGCTTGTGAGGCATTGCAAGGGTTTACCACTGGCCATTAAAGTCATTGGTAGATCACTCAGTCATCAACCTTATGAATTGTGGAAAAAGATGGTGGAGGAATTGTCGCAAGGTCATTCTTTACTTGATTCTAACACTGAATTACTTACTTCCCTCCAAAAAATCTTAGATGTCTTGGAAGATAATCCCATCATCAAAGAGTGCTTCATGGACTTAGCATTATTTCCTGAAGACCAAAGAATTCCTGTTGTTGCTCTAGTTGATATGTGGGCAGAGTTGTATGGACTAGATAATGATGGCACAGAAGCAATGGCCATCATCAACAAATTAGCTTCTATGAATCTTGCTAATGTCTTGATAACAAGGTACAGTCAACAACTACTTATATTTCTTCTAACTACTTCACCATATGTACTCTATAGAACAAATAATTCAATAGCTTATATAGCTCATGAGAGGAATAGCTGATTCCTTGTATAATATTCCAAAAATACCATTAACTTGACAATTTAAACTTCTAGCATTATATAACTTCACATTTCTTCTTATGAACTTTGATCACAGAAGTTGGAATTCGTAAGAAATCAATCAAATAAGTAGCATGTATGTTTAATCTTGCGAGGGAATTTAATTTTCTCCAAAAGGAATTAAATTTTGCTAATTTACCAGGAGAAATACAAGTGACAGAGACAGTTACTACTACAATTACCATTTCATCATCCTTCATGATATTCTAAGAGACTTGGCAATTTATCAAAGCACCCAGGAACAAATTCAACAGAGAAAAAGACTGATGATTGACATAAATGAAAATAAACCTGAATGGTGGCTTGGGGAGAAGCAACAAGGCATGATGACCCGCATATTGTCAAATATTTTTAGATGGTGTGTTAAACAGAAACCCCTACATATCCCTGCTCGCACGTTGTCTATATCAACTGGTAAGTTATTATATACCTTACTATAAAGTATAAACAGAAGCATTTACTTACAAAATAAAGATAGTAATAAGAAAGTCTATGATCTATCATTTGTTCCTATTCTACTATTGACACCATATGGGTTGCTTTTGTAGATGAAACTTGCACTTCATATTTGTCCAACATGCAAGCAGCTCAAGCTGAGGTTCTGATTTTTAACCTTCGAACTAATCAATACTCCTTTCCGGAGTTCATGAAAGAAATGACTAAACTAAAAGTTTTGATAGTCATAAATTATAGTTTCCATCCTTCTAAAATGAACAATTTTGAGCTACTTGGCGCTTTATCCAACCTGAAAAGAATCAGACTAGAGCGGATCTCTGTTCCTTCCTTTGTCACATTGAAGAATCTTAAAAAGTTATCCCTCTACTTTTGTAATACAAGACAAGCTTTTGAGAACGTTAACATGCTAATTTCAGACGCTTTTCCAAATCTGGAGGATTTGAATATTGACTATTGCAAAGATATAGTGGGATTGCCTAAGGGGCTTTGTGATATAACTTCCCTGAAGATGCTCAGTATTACTAATTGCCACAAGCTTTCTGCATTGCCCCAAGAAATTGGAAATTTGGAGAATTTGAAACTTCTAAGGCTAAGTTCATGTACTGATTTGAAAGGGATACCAAATTCTATTGGAAGGCTTTCAAATCTAAGACATATGGACATCTCAAACTGCATTAACCTTTCTAATTTACCGGAGGACTTCGGTAATTTGTGTAATCTAGGAAATCTCTACATGACAAGTTGTGCAAGTTGTGAATTGCCATCTTCAATCATCAATCTTAAGAATTTAAAGGTGGTGGTATGCGATGAAGAGACAGCTGCTTCATGGGAACCTTTCAAACCTATGCTTCCCAATCTAAAGATAGATGTTCCTGAATTTGATGTTAACTTGAATTGGCTTCACACAATTCACTCCTAAAACCTGTGTCATGTAGTTTTCATCATTGTGTTTGCAAGTTATGGTTGATCACACAGGAAAGCAAAGAGAATAAAACATGGCTCTGCTTGCACAGTGGATTATGGTAAAAGGAAACTTCTATATCTATGTTAGTCATAGCCGAAGGGGAAAATATTTGGTTTGTTGTTAAGCAACTCGACAAACAAAAATCCTATTTGATATGCCCAAGGCAAAACAGGGCGAAGGAATTGTTATTGTTTAGGTTGACAGCCTGCATATTATGTAAAGTGTTAATGTTTGTGAGTGACTACTACATAATGTATAGTTTTAATGTTTAATAGTACCTTTGTGAGAGTGAGAGTGGTGACTACCTTCGTATTAGGTTTATTTCTCGTGTTAGTTGATTCTTTCATTTGTCTTGATCTTCAGTTGTTAAATGAGAATGCCAAACTAAAACAGGTTTCAACCTTCTGATCATTAACTTAGTTAATAATCAAAGCACTAAATTTTACTATTTTGTGACAATATTTTGGGCAAATTATATTACAAACCATTATTGGTGATGTTTTGCATGACTACTTATTAAAGGATTTGATGCGATAAATAAGACTATAGTTGGACAAATAGACTATATTGTAAACGTCGAGTGCCCATAGAAAATGTATTAGCAGTTAGCACCATGCAAATGGTTCCCACTTATGTTATTTTGTTTTTGGAAATGACTCAGCTTGTTTGAACAACACAAATTAATACGCCATAAGTTAGCTTCATTTAATTACGTGCAAGTTACAGTTACGTACAAGGTCATGCAAAGTCGTTGAATCATCAACGAACATATTTTGGATACGTGGGAGATAAGTTATAGGCTTATAGCACTCAATATTGAACCATCAACAAATGGGAAGTAATTAATATTTCTTTTTACTGAAAGTGGATAACGCTCAAAAGAGAACAAAATATTACAAATGGGAAATAGACACGCATGGCAACTAGCTTTGTTAAGATGACAGTGACGCTGGTGTGTAATTTAAATTATTTGCTAAGTTCAATTTAATTTATTAATGATTTGTTAATTAAATTATTTGTGTTGTGTTTTAATTTAATTAGTTGTTCCTGTTTGGTTTCAATTGAATTTATTTTATTGTGATAATTAGTTTATTGTTGTTATTGAGTTGTTTTAAGTAGTTTTTTTTTTTGCTTATTTAGTGTGAGTTGAGTTTTTTGGGATAGTATGGTAGAGGAGGGATGTTTAGCTAAGTTGTTTTAAGGAGTTTGGGGGTTCTTATCCTGGAACTCATAACTTATTTTCTGAAGAGGGGACAAAAGAGAGAAAGAGCTTGTGTAAGAGAGTTTCCTTGTCTTGACTGAACCTTCTTCTCCCATTTTCCCTTGCTCGTGAAGCTAACCCTAGCTCCTGGAATCCTGGGACGTTCTTGAAGTTGGTTGTCTTGTTTAGTTGTTAGTTGTGTGGCTAGTTGAGTGACTAAGGGTTTTTGAGTAAAGAGAATGTCTGTATAGAGTATTTGGTCTATCGTGTTTCTTGGTTGTTTGAACTTGAGAGAGGTAAGGGAATCTTAATTACCTATTCTTTTGTATATTTTGCATGCTGAAATATGGTCTGAAATACACTACATTGATTGTCAAAATTCTTGTTATATGCTTGTTTGAGTTAGATGAAGTGGGCTGCATTTTATTGCATTTTGTTGAGCATGGTTGTGACTTGATGAGTTGGTTGATTTATGAAACTTTCTTATTTGCATGTTATTTTTGTGGTTGGAATCATGTTCTGTAATGATGATTATATGAGTTTTGTTGGTTTAGAATTGAGTTTGGATTTAGTAGATGAGTTAAGGATGGATTTTGGTGGTTTATTGGGAAATTCAAAATTTCTAAGTTTTGTGAAGTGCAGACCCTGCACTCGTGTCATCGAAAAAACGTCGTGTTGGGCACGATGAAGTCAAAATTAGTTTTCATGATCTTTATAAAAATTGTAGTCTTAGATGTTAGCTTTCCAATGACACTAGAATCATCCAAAATAAGAGGTTTAGAACTCAAGTTATGAGTAGATGATGGAATTCGACTTTAGGTCTTCATAAAGTTATGGATAATCTTTTTATCTTTCTTATACGTTAAAGATGAGTTTGTTTTGGTTGGTAGAACTCTAATTATGAGTTTTGTTGGTTTAGAATTGAGTTTGGAGTTAGTAGATGAGTTAAGGATGGATTTTGGTGGTTTATTGGGAAATTCAAAATTTCTAAGTTTTGTGAAGTGCAGACCCTGCACTCGTGTCATCGAAAAAACGTCGTGTTGGGCACGATGAAGTCAAAATTAGTTTTCATGATCTTTATAAAAATTGTAGTCTTAGATGTTAGCTTTCCAATGACACTAGAATCATCCAAAATAAGAGGTTTAGAACTCAAGTTATGAGTAGATGATGGAATTCGACTTTAGGTCTTCATAAAGTTATGGATAATCTTTTTATCTTTCTTATACGTTAAAGATGAGTTTGTTTTGGTTGGTAGAACTCTAATTATGTAGTGTTATACAAAAGTATTGTTGTATATACAAAAGTTTTATATATTGAATGAAAATATTTTTAGTGATTATTTTTTAATGAAAGTACTTTAAAAAAAAATCAACCTCTCATTTTTTAGTTTATTCTTTTTATTTTTATTTCTAAATTCAATTTTAATATTTTGAAATACTTATAACTAAAATAACCATATATTATAATATTAAAACTATTTATTAATTTTTTTTTAATTATAACATATTTATATATTATAATATTTACTTATTATAAATTCTAATTGCTCTAAAAAATTATAAAAATTATTTACATAAAATAAAAATTTATCTTCATTACATGAATTAAAATATTAGTTAAATAATCATTACTAATCCAATGGATTAGCATAATGATTAATCACTATACTCACACGTTGTAGAAACAATTTATCATGGATGGAAATATTATACTAATATAATATATGTTATTGCGAAAACTAGTTGGACTAGCAATAATGACAATTTTGCAAGTAGAATCAGGGTATGTTTGGGTAGGCATTTTCATACTTAAATGGATGTTCATGAGTCATAGAATGTCATACCTGTATGTTTGACTATCTTCCTTTTTGTTGTGTTGAATTTGTTTTTGTTGCAACGTTTATTTCAACGAAATCAACATGTTTGTTGTTTTTGTTTTGACATTAACAAGTTTTTGACCTTTATATTGAAATTATTAATTTGAACAAACGTTAGCCAACCTTTGTAAAGGAAAGAAAGACACAAGAAATGGATGGTAGAATAATGTCAATAAAAAATTCAACACTTTTCTTTAATCAATGAAGTAGTTACAAAGTCTTACAAGTATAGATAAAGAGTTAAAAAAAACACACACAATGTTTTTATACTGTTTTGTCTCAACTACAAAAATCATATTCAACTCTTGATCAACCCAATCAAGTTCCATTATCTTTTACAAAGATACAGGTATTCTTTTACAAAACACTTCTAACTTAATCTAAGAGTTCTTTGACTTGCCTTTTCAAACAACTATCCAAGTATTCTTTGAATGCAAAGCCTCTCCAAACTTCAATAACCAAATATTCTTTTATAGTCAAACTTTTAGCCTCAATCAACCAAGTATTCTTTTACAGACATGTCTCTTCAAGCTCAAATAACCAAGTATTCTTTTACAAACAAGCTTTTTCGGTCTAAAACAACCAAGTATTTTTTTACATACAAACTTCTTCAAGCTCAAGATAATAACACAAAGTTAAAGCTGAGAAATCACTTTGTTATTTTGTCTTACTATTAAGTTATGATACAACCAATTAAGTATAAATCTTTTATAGGAAAAAATATAAATTTTTATGATTATTGTTCTATCTATGTATATATGTGTCTTTATTCTTTTTTGAATCTTTAAACTTCTTTATATATGTGTTTCATGAAGGTGATTACTGCAAATTCTTGAACATCTCTCACAAGTTTGTTTTGTTTGTCTATATCTTCATTCCTTGTGGGGGAAAGTGTCACGGTGCATTAAATGTGGACAATAAATATGTTTCACCAAATTATCACTTTTTATTTGATGAAAGAAGTTATTTATCACCTTTTTAGTACTAAAAGAGAGGAATTGTTGCATGTGACAATCAAAAACAACTTTCTTTGAAACTTTGCGTACTTTGAAGGATTTGTTTGTCCTTTTTATGATGCAAAACATGATTTTGCTCCCTTTAGTAGTTTGAGCACCAAAGAAACTTTTTATTCCTTTTGATTTGTTAAGGAATAACATAGATAAAAATGATTTGATTATCAGACATCATAAATTATATATATTAAATACTTTTATCTTATAGACGAAGTAATTTGATTGGGAGACTTAATGATAAAATAATCAATTGTCTATCACGACTCGTCTTATAATATGATTTGAAAAACTTTTCTATTAAAAAATGTCTAAGTTTGTTATCATTAAAATTTATATGCTAAGGGATCCAATATCGTCTTTTGACGTAACAACCTTGTCATCCTTTAACCTACCAACATTGAAGATTCATAAATTTGGATGTGACTATGATATCATAATTTCTAATTCCATGCTCTAGTTTTATATCCCACATACTTGTTAGTTTTAGATCCTACATTCATGTTGCTAGTTTTGAGCTTCTAAGGTGGTTGTGGTTACAATTCTAAGCTTGTGGACAAAGATTACTTTAGTTTTGGTAAGCTTGCATGTTTTTTTTTTTTCATTTCATCATTTATGGTTGTTTTCCTTTTTTGTGATGATCCATTTCTCAATTCATCTCTTATTACTTTTATTCTCTTTGTGATGTTTTATTCCTAAATTAATAAGAAAACATAACCTATCTCTTTCATAGATGTATAACAATATTTTTTTTGCAACTTATGCAAATATTAAACAAACAACCTTGCAAATAAATCTTCATATTTATTTTATAATAAAACAAATGAGTAACAATAAGAGAAAAGGCAATGTAGAGACTTATGCTATAGATAATGAAGATGTTAAGGCAAAGGTGTTGCATGGAATGTCAAGAAGCTTGAAATTGATATTAAAGTATGCTTGGAGCAAGTCAATAAAGGAGAATGGAATGGGACCACACCCTTACAAAAGAAAAAGGTGGAAAGTTGTTGAATTTGAATTCAATGCGAAATTAAACCAGAAGAAAATATGGCAAATAAAAAAAATAAATAAATGGAATAACCTTAAGAAAGAAAGGTCAACATGATATAAACTATTTGGGAAAGAGACTGGACTAGGATGAGATAATTTGATAAATACGGTGGATGCATCAGATGAGTGGTGAGATAAAAAGCAAATGGTATGAAATCTTTTAACAAGAAGTTAGAAGTTTTATATTTATTTTGCGTAATATATTGTGTTGATTACTTGTAAACATGTAGCAGAATTCACTATAAGGAAAACTCATATATAAA